TGTTTTAGATGGATCAGTGTCTCCTCTCTCTCACCTCATTTTTGTTCTTTTATTTCCTTGCTTCTTGGTTCGGTTTTTTGATGCTTATGTACGAGGCATAAGTGTCCACGTATAGCCTTTTGCTATACGTGAAACCATCAAACAAGGTCGCAAGTAGTCGTTTTGGGGCGTACGATGTTGATGATAAAGGCACACCGAAGATGGAGCAGAAAGATGTCTTATCCTATAACATCAAGATCCAGACATTTGATGAACAATATGATATGGTATCCTTCACCGACATAAGTCTAGCGGGAGTTAGCTCGAACCTTCTCAGGTGATTGACATTCTCATGCCCGACAGTGCAATCGACTCGTGGACAACAAAAAATTCTAAAAAAATATATATAAGTTTTGATAAACCCTTTACAAACAAAAACATACTTTTCTACGAAACAAAATTGATAACTCTTCTTTGTATGTCTAAAATTTGTATGCATGTTAAAAAACATAAAACATACTTTAAAGCTGGTTGTCCACCTGACGAATACCTGTTTAGGCTGGGAAATAGCCCTCTAAGTGAGGTTCAAGACACACTTCTAGACGAGTGGCGGGATCTATTCCTTCGACTGGACAAAGAGACTTCGACCGAGTAGCCTTCGTGGACCCTCGAGAATAAATATACAGCTGAGCCTAGTCCCATACGAGTGTTTGCGGTCCCCCTCATCCGAATCTTCTTTTTGTTTTATCGAATATTTGGGATAGGGCACTCGTGTTACTTTTTCTTTCTTTCGGGATTTCCCCAGGAGTTTTGAGGATTTTCTTTTACTTGAGTCTTTTTCGTTGATTTTCTCTAGTTTTCCGCTTTTCATCGGGTTTCCTGGATGACGTTTCTTTCAGACTTCGCTTTTCGTTGATTGGCTTGAATGTTTCTTTTAGACTTGCTATACTTAAGGAACAACGAATCTCACGAGCGTACAGGTTTGCTTTACATTTTACAGCACTTACTTTTCTTGTTTCTACCTGCTACTGCTCTTCTTATACAGCATGTTATACCATTTATGTTCCTACCTGCTATCGTACCGTACAGCATGTTATATTATTCATGTTTCTACTTGCTACTGTTATTCTCGTATAGCATGTTATATTGTTTCTATTTCTACCTGTTACTGTTCCATGTGCATTCTATTATTTGTTCCTGCGTTGCACACTTTACATTATATAACTTCAAGCATGTTTCATTTTTACATAGGATGTTTAGAGGACCACAACCATAGGGTCGTTTGATTTGACACTATAACTGGACACCCTATAAAACTTAAACTCGTCATGTCGGGGAGCTTGGAGCTAGCGCGATGGGCAGCACGACCATCTTCAACAGCAGAACACGTTTTCCCCAGCAAAATCATTCCTTTCCTAGAAATTAAATAACAATCCATAGGATTTCGAGATTGTCTGCCTAGCGCAACATAAATCCTCCACCTTTTCCTTAGGCATTCGTATAGCTCTGTTATACGGTTTAAGCCCTAACTCGTTTTAGGTCCCGAGGTTGTCGTCCGATATGACGTAAACCCTCATATCTTCTAGGCGATTTGTGTGACCATGTCACGCAAATATAAGCCTTAATTAAATAAAATTAGCAGAATGAAACACTGTAATAATTTTTTCTCAAAACTGGAGCCAAATCATAGGATAGACTGGGAAGTCACTGAGGTTCTCCTCAGGATCTGTGGCCTCCCCTAGTTTCTCTTCATTTGGATTCTTTAACATTATTCCAGATTTGAG